GTTTAGATTCATCCAACATTGCTGTCCGAATTTCGTCAATATCCCTTGTGAGGGCATCCACATCACGACGTACTTGGCAAATGATCAAGGTAGGAAATATGCCTTGAATGAAACGGCACATGAGACTCGTACACTCTTGGTCTAACGGGAGGTGGAGCATGCCCCCTCGTCAAATCAGGTTCGGCATTCTCTTCCTCCTCATCATCACCCTCGTCAAGGAAGGGTGTGTCATCTCCAGACTCATCGGCATTGTTATCATAATCATTATTCTCTTCCTGACTCTACGCATCTGCCAGATCCCGAGTAAATACGTCGTCTTCTGGCAATTGAGTGAGGACAGGACCATCAAGTTGCTCGTTTTCACTACACAACCAAAGAAATAATGAGCTACTGAAATTGGTCCAAACAATACATATAACTTTATATATTCACTTACAAATCATAATGTGTTGATATCCCATGATGCACATTATCTTATTTATGCTGACTCTCGGATGGACCACCATGATCCAACACAACAAAACTAGGCATATTCCAACTGGCCGTTGGTTCATAACTAGTAAAATTCATATCTGGTCGGTACCCCCTGTGGAATATATGAGTGTTAATACAAATACAATACACAAAAATGTACATCGTAACACAACGGGAATTGAAGTTTACCACTCGGCTTGTGGATTATGTATACTGGGGGAGACATTATTTCCTCGCTCCTCATTCGCCCGTGGAGATAAGTTTAGATCCGGCCAAGCTCTTTCAGCCGGAACCTGTTCGACTAAAACTGCTCCAAAATAACCACCCGATGATTGAGGAATTTCCCTACTTTGCGCAACCTCATTATTGCGAAAGTCTTAAGCCTTGACGTACATTTTCAATAGTTTTATCACAATAAATTCTCGATATTCATCCGGAGTCCCCAAAAAATCACTCAGAGTTTCATCGTCTTCGATGTTAAACTCAGCATAACAAGCAACCCCCTAGGGAGTCACAGAATACGTATATCTTCCGGTTATTTTAAGATTCACCGAACGTTTGCTCACACTCATTTTTTTATATATCAACGATACCAATTTATCGTACTCCATTGTAAGTGGCAACTTAACATGAGACTGTGGAGATAAACTATAACTTACTAAGTTATCCCCCCCCCCCCCCCCCCCCCCCCGCAATATAATGAAACCCTAAATTTTCGCTCTTCAGACATTATGACAAAATGCAAAACAACTTAACAAAGAAAACTTTCAGAAGACTTGAAAATGTCTATAAATGGATTTTTACAAAATCCTTTACCTCTTTAAATAAGGCAAAAACCAGCCCGGGGGTTCAATTATTTGAGGTATAGCGTCTTTTAAAAACACGCTATACCCAGTTGAATTATTGTTATGTCAGTTAAGCACATAAGAATTATTTGTGGTCCCACTTCATATATATATATATATATATATATATAAAGAGAGAGAAAGAGAAAGAGAGAGAGAGAGAGAGAGAGAGAGAGAGAGAGAGAGAGAGTTTTTGAAAAAACACTATATTTAATTGGCCAAAGGGTCGTTAAAGTATAGTGTGATTCTAAAAACGCTATACATATTTTGGTCACTAAATTTTTTTCACATATTTTTATTCTTTGAGTCCAAAAGAATTACATTTTGGTTCCGAACTCAAGGAGTACGAGGGGCAATCTTCTCTATGGATATGCTAGGAAGAAATTGACAAATAGGAGTAGTTGCTTTTCATTCCTCCCGCTAATTGAAACTTAGCTACAATTGCAAAATTATTCAAACTTTAGCCGCTTTTTAATACGGTTATATTTGAACAAAATATTTTTAATTGAAATAGGGAAAACTCCAGCATTACTGAAATTTGTACAAGTAAAACTTCAACATTCTGTGCTGGACCTCTATCAGTGGCGGCTCAAGTTACTTAGTGGCCTAAAGCCAAACTTTTATTAGAGGCCTTAATATTTTATTACAAAATTTCGTACATTATATGAAGTTTATATTTTGTACGTATTTTTAGATGCAAAGTTTCTATATATTTTATTATTTCCTTTCCTGTATGCACTTGCAATCAACTTAGTGACTTCTTCATATTCTAAAGAGCACTCTCATTATTTTTTAATTTATTTTTTATTGTGGATTAAAAATTTATCAAGAGCTCTATTATGAGATTGCATTAAAGTTTCAATTTTTTCCTTTTTTGTGAATTTAAAGTAATTACTTGATTCTTATTTTCTAGTTGATATACTTATAATTAATCATATAAAAAGCAATATAGACCTACAATGTAATATATAAAAAGATAATAACAAAAAAAAAAGAAGAGAATAACAAGTTAGAACAATAAAATAAAATTGATTCTAGAAGTTGTAACTTGATATTAAAAACAAAAATTTCCTTGTTGGTTTGCTTGCTGCAATGCCTAACAACTCGAGAAAGAATGAAGAAAAATGTGCAATTTTATCTTCAACACTTGTTTATGAGAATAGATAACTTAGGAGGAAAAGGAATAGAGAACCTAGAATACAAGGTATTGTTATGTGAATGAAAAAAAAGAGAATAAAAATAATTTGGATTATATATGTACATTACCAGAAATGTATGTATAGTCACTTTCAAGTACATAACGAAAAATTCTTTAGATTTTATATTTTTCATTAAATTATAAATTTTTGAAAAAAATAAATAACACATAAGATCTACTCCCTCCATTTCATATTAAATGAGGTAATTTCCTTTTTAGTCTGTTCCAAAATAAATGACACATTTCTAAATTTGGAAATAATTCAACTTTAAACTCTTCATTTTACCCTTTTTGTTCTTAATGAGAAGCTTTTATAGCCACACAAATGGCATGACCCCACAAACCTTTTACCCCTTAAGCTTTTAAGACCACAACTTTCAAATTAATAATTAAAGGGGCCTAAAAGAATTGGGGCCTAAAGCGCCTGCTTCAGTCGCTTGGCCCTTGAGCCGGCACTGACCTCGATTAGTAATTGTTGCAGATAAAACAAAAAATGAAGTGATAAATATGTTGATAAAATTAATTTATTTTTAACTGAAATAGGGAAAACTCCAGCATTACTGAAATTTGTACAAGTAAAACTTCAACATTCTGTGCTGGACCTCGATTAGTAATTGTTGCAGATAAAACAAAAAATGAAGTGATAAATATGTTGATAAAACTAATTTTCTTTTGTTACTTTCTCCGTTTCAATTTATGTGATACTATTTCCTTTTTAATCCATGCCAAAAAGAATGACCTCTTTCCTTATTTGGAAACAATTTACCTTTATTCAATGATTTATAGCCACACAAATATATGTGGCTCATTGTACACCACAAATTTAAAAATTTTCTCTTTTTCTTAAATTCCGTGCTCAATCAAATGGGTTCACATAAATTAAAACGAAGGGAGTATTATTAAGTTTCTAAACTTGAGTGTTATAGATGACACTCGTAGTAATGGTACTATAACAACAATTTAATATATAGTATTAGTTTCTTTGTTGATGAAAAAAAAAACATAAACACCTCAGATGGGCTAACTCAATATCTATTTGGGTCACGCCAGTAAAGATAGCACGGGCTAGCCAGTTTTCGGATTGGTCATTTAAAAATAGTCAGCCTTTGCAAAGTCATTAAAAAATATACCACTATTTTGCTGCAACACGGAAAGTTCCAGCATAATATACTGGAGATCGGTGCACCTGTGTATGAACTTCCAGCATATTATGCTGGAACTCCAACACGTGGAAAGTTCCAGCATAATATACTAGAGATTGGAGCACCTGTGTATGAACTTCCAGCATATTATGCTCGACCAATATATTATACTAGAACTACAGTATATTATCCTGGAAGTCCAGTATATTATATTGGAACTCCAGTATAAGTATACTGGAATTCCAGTATATTATGCTGGAGTATTTTCCGGATTTTGAACAGTATTTTCGTTTAGATTTATCTTTACATGAAAAGTGACTTAATTTCGATTACTATTAAAACTACGGAAAAGGGTTCAAAATGCCCCTAAACTATTGAAAAAGGTTTAAAATACCCTTCATCCACCTAGTGGGTTAAAAATACCCCTCCATCCACCTTTTTGGTTCACTTATGCCCTTTGACCGTTAGGTCAATGCTGAATTAAAAATAATTATTATTCTTTTGTAAAACTTTAAAAAAAAATTTACAAAATATTTTCGTTTTTTTAAACTAATGCACCAGTAGTCCACTAATTTAGTAAAGTCTTCTTCTTTTTTCTTTTTTTTCAGTTTTTACAAAATAAAGAATTTCATTTTTTTCAATTTTTTTAAAGCATTTTTATTGTGAAAACTCAAAAAAAATTGTAAAAACAGAAAAAAATATTTTCATTGTTGAAAAATATTTTTTTTTTATTTTTTCTAAAAAAAACGAAAATATTTTTTCTTTTAAAAAAAAACTGAAAAACGAAAATAAAACGAAATGCTTTAGAAAAAATTGAAAAAAAATATTTTTCAAAAACAAAAATATTTTGGTTGAACATATATTTTTCAGTTTATAAAAAACGAAATATTTTATTGAAAATATTTTTTTTCTGATTTTACAATCTTTTTTTCAGTTTTTACAAAAAAAAAATGCTTTAAAAAAACTGAAAAAAATGTAAATAAATTTTGTTTTTGTAAAAACTGGAAAAAAAAAAAGAAGTCTTCACTAAATTAATGGAGTATTGGTGCATTAGTTTAAAAAAAACGAAAATATTTTGCAACATATTTTTCTTCAAGTTTTACAAAAAGAATAATAATAATTTTTGATTTAGCATTGACCTAATGGTCAAAGGGCAAAAATGAACAAAAAAAGTGGATGGAGGGGTATTTTTTAGCCCAATAGGTGGATGAAGGGTTTATGTAAACTTTTTTCAATAATTTAGGGGTATTTTGAACTCTTTCCCGTTAAAACTATGGCTATTTTTGAATTGATCCATTTATGGGCTAGCCATTCGCAAATTGTCCTCTGTGATCATCAATACATCACTAATTCAGTCGCTTTTCTCCTTTCTGACGTAAAAGAGAGTCGAGATATCCAGCAGTAACGTGAAAGTACCCTTACAGGTTGGTTAACTACTACACTTGTTTAAATCGATGTGTACAATTATTTTATTATATATAAACCCATAGAGATACCAGATTTAAGGTTTGATTATGCAGTATACCTCAATTACTCCTTTGCATACTTGCTTCTACCCAATTCCTAAGCATTTTTACTCCCCCCATCGTTCCTTTAATCTCAATAAGAAAACTCTTCCTCGTTCCTCACTTTGCTCCACCCATTTCACAAACAAGTGTTGTTTCACTCTCAGTTCTACACATAGTTGCAGTCAGGACCAACAGAAACACAAAGGGGACAACAACAGTACAGACCCAGATACAAACCCAGATCGACAGAACCGTATAAATTGGGAAGAATTCTATTCTTCAATTCAAGAAAAGAGAAGACAGTACAGTGAAGACAACGAGGAACCGGAAGTTGAGCTTTCCAATCATTCAGGCATTTACACAAACATGTGGTGGACAGACTTAAAAGCTGCAGTAGGCCAGAGGATTAACGTGGAGGGCATTGTTTCTTCTTTAGGGGTTTTCTCTAAGGACAAGCATTTGGCGATCCCACATGTTATTGTGCCGGATATAAGGTATATCGATTGGGCTGAGCTAAAGAAACGAGGGTTTCAAGGTGTGGTCTTTGACAAGGATAATACAATTACAGTTCCTTACTCCTTGAGCTTGTGGTCTCCTCTTGCCTCTTCTATAGATCAGTGCAAATCTCTCTTTGGTAACAATATTGCAGTTTATAGCAACTCTGCAGGTAATTAGATTTCTTTTAGATCAGTGCAAATGTCTTAGTTGGGCCCGTGTCAATTGGGCCAGTCTTGACTCCTAACAATTCGTCTCAGTAGTGCTCAGTAATTATGATTTGTGAATTTGTAGGACTAGATGAATATGACCCTGATGGTAGAAAAGCCAGAATTCTTGAACGTGCAATCGGAATTAAAGTCATTACGCACAGTAAGTTGAATTTTTCTTTATTCCATTTGCCCTAATCTGTCATGTATCGTGTACTCCATTTCTATAGTAATGCAACTCTGAAGTAACATGAACTAACGAATGATAAGTCAAAAAAATGAGAAATTTATATGAATATCATTTGCCTATCTTTGAGTTAATGCTATTTGTATTTGCTGCTTCCGTTATGTGTATACGTTAGGGGTGAAGAAGCCTGCTGGAACAGCTGAAGAAATTGAAAAACAATTCGGTTGTGAATCGTCGAGGCTTATTATGGTAAACTTGGTTCTTTTAGTTTTTTGTAAGCTTTTCTCTGTCCTTTCTCAGTTGACAGTTTATGTTGTGTCCTTTGCAGGTGGGTGATAGGCCGTTTACAGACATAGTTTATGGTAATAGAAATGGTTTTCTTACTATTTTGACAGAGCCATTAAGTCGTGCAGAGGAACCATTAATTGTACAGCAGGTTAGATTTCCTAAAGAATGATTTGTTTGATGACCTTGATTATAATTTTGGTTCATAACTTTTTTTTTAGAATACCACCCAGGACAGCTTGTACGCACCTCGACTAATCCACCTATGTTGAACTAAATTTCCAGTAGTGTGAATCTCTTGAGCTATCAATTATCTTTTTTCTCCATCCTGAATGTTTGCGAGATCTTTTACCTTTTAAATGCATATGTCCAATATTTGAAGTCAAATTCCCTTGTTATTGTTCCGATACTGATTGTAGAGAGGTTTATGTATAAGCTGAGCACTAATCTGGTGATCACGCTTCCTGGCATGGACTCCTCTTACCCAGTCGGTCATCAAACTTTCTGGCTTCTCAGAACTGAATTGCTTATCAGCAGCGGTTGTTTTGTTAGACATGGATCAGACTTTCTGGCTTCTCTCAGCTGAATTGCTTATCAGCAGCGGTTGTTTTGTTAGACATAGATCAGACTTTCTGCTTCTCTCAGCTGAATTGCTTATCAGCAGCGGTTCTTTTGTTAGACATAGTCCATGGAGTTAATCTTTGGTGGTGACAGTAGGGTCGACATCCTATTCTCCCCTACTTGAAAAAGTCACCTATATTTGTATTACTTTTGTCACAATGAACTTGTAGCATTCTCAAGTAAAGACAACCTCTCTGATGCTTAAAGCAGTTTTAGCATCTTGTCAAATAGCTTATTGGATATATATCCGCCAATTGAGGTAGGTACATTGGATGCCTCATCCACTGCATTGTGACAGCTGCTCATGAGAAATAGGTCCATCACCTGCATTATTTTTGTCGTTGTCACTTCCAAAAGTTACTGGCGTAGCTGCTGCCTTAATCCCTATGCAGCAATTCGTTATGAGGTTTCCTAAGAACATACACTACTCAAAAGATTTTTTTTTATGGGTTACTCTACTCAAAACTATAATGCACAATTATGTGATCACTTCTTCACTATCAAGTTGTCTCTCATCAAATTGGATGAAGTGCTTCCCCTCCTTTCGTTTTATCTTGCAATTTGACCTGGTTTCCTTGGACACTTTTGATTCTAAGAGCAAAATGTCTGCAGGTCAGGGTACTTGAGGTGGCTCTTGTGAACCGATGGAGTAGCCAGGGGATGAAGCCAGTCAATCATACGCTTCTTCCTGATTGCCAGCAGTGTGTAAAAGATGAACCACTTTAGGGAATTTCTTTAGATCAAGAGACAAAAGTTTCTTTCCCCTCCCCCCCATAAAGGAAAAAAAGAAAGTACACACCCAACCCGACCAGGAACAGCCATTTTTTTTTATTACCACTAATAATTATACAGGGTTATTTGCTTGGGTTTGTCTCTTGAGTGTGGAATCTGATAAGAAGGCTATATCAGTCATTTCAGCATTTGTTTTGACTGAATCATGTACCAACTTAATATTAGAACAATTTTCTCTCTTGAGTCGATGCTGCTAAACATTTATTTGGTGATAATGATAGATGCATTTTGTCAACGAGTTCATTCTCCTAATAGTATACAATTTTGGTTGATTGCAACATCATTATTTTGGTTGATTTCAAGGTCACTTATTTCCAAATATTTCAAGCCATATGGAATTGTATATTATGACTGGGCTAACGATTATGACATGCCCTTAGTTAATATTTGAATGTCATCAGGTGTTTCATGATTGTTCAGACTGATGACAATTATAAACAGATAAAACAGTCGTATAAATAATTTGTTTGATTGATGGTTAATTTGAGGCATGATGTGGAATCCTTTTTTTTTTTTGACTTTGCTAATGTGCATAACGAATCAAGTGCCCTGCAACATAAATCAGCCAAATACAGTGATAACAAGGTTATATTTCATTAGAACTTTGGAGAAATTTTAATGGGCATTCCTTTGGAAGGGAAGGGAAGGGGATCCATGACAATTGGTTCGTCAGGATTTATTAAGGACCAATCATATCGTGTCACAACGTAATGAACAAATATGAGAATGTTTAGCTTTGCCAATTGGTACCCTGCACACAGCCTTGGCCCTCCTCCAAATGGTACAAATGCATATGGTTGAACAGGCTCCTCAAATCTACTTGGGTCAAAATTTTGGGGCTCTTTAAAATACTCTGGACTATAATGTGTACCGTATGTTGTCCACAATACCTGCATATAACAACAAAAATTAGCATGACATGTAAAAAGGATTTGATCTTTCACTCTTCAGCTATCTAATGACTCAAAGGGTAGTGATAATTCTTACCTTCCAACCTTTTGGAATGGTGAATCCTTCAAATTCAATGTCAGCAATTGCTTTTCTGAAAGAACCAAATATAGGAGGAAACAGCCTCATGCTTTCCCGAGCAACTTGCCATGTGTATTTCATCTTTTTTGTGTCTTCCAACGATAGTATCTCATCTGATCCTTTGTTATTCATTATATTTGCATGTTCTGTGTCCAATTTTCACATTAATCAGTTTAATAGACAGAGAAAAAAGTTGATAGATATGTTGTGGTTAGCTTCCATATATAAACGTACCTTGAATGAGAAGTGAATAGCAGGTGGGATGATGAGCCAACATCCTAAATGTCATAGCAATGGCAAAAGAAGTTGTATCATGTGCAGCAAACACTAGCAAAACAACATTATCAGCGACCTCTTCTTCACTTACTTCACCGCGAATCAACGCTTTCACTAACTGAGAAAGTAATGCCTCGTCTAATTTCCCTTCTTTCTCCTCTCCTAATTCTATCTCTCTTCTCTTCTCCCTTATAACCTCAACAAGAATTTTCTCTATTTTCAATCTTGCATTTTTTGCCCTTGAAAACTTAGATCCTGGAAACTTAAATGGAGGTGAAAAAGCACCTTCCAATACTCTCTCAAACGTTTCAAGTAATCCTGGTTTGACTACTATTCCCAAAAAACACTCAAACACAATCTTGAACGTCAAACATTTGGTCAGGTGATAAAGTTTTATGATCTGGTCTTGGCCATTACAATTCTTGTCTAAGTGAGATTGAATTGTGTTACAAATTTTAGGAACCATAGCATCTAGACTAAAAGAGGCAAGACTTGAAGATATAATCCCACGAAGGCGTCGATGCGCCTCTCCTTGTTTCTCCATAATACAATTCTTGCCCATTAGCTCAACTGAAGAAGTAGGCCATGAACTTATTACCAATTTGAATTCATTAGACAAAAAGAACATATTAGCTTCTGCTCCACATACCACTACTGTTGGTGATCCCATTAGTCTTGTTTTGAATGTCTTTCCATATTTTTCCATCCGGGGCTGAACAAATTCTTCAAATAATTTGTTCTTTTTTTGGGCTTTGTAAAATTCTATGGTTTCACCAATCCATGGAAGCCCCATTTCTCCAGGTGGAAGTTTCTTTTTGGTAATGTGTTTATAGCCTTTGTAATGTTTCAATAGAATGGAAAGGACAATTATGAAAAAGATTGATAAGGAGAAAGAACAAGGAAAGTTGATTAGGCTTAACAAAGAAAGAGCCATTGGAAAAGAGAATAGACAACTTAACAAAAGAATATTTGGAGTGTTAATTAGCTAAGAAACTATGCCAAATTTATACTCCTTTGCATGGGGAAGATGACTTATTAAGAACAACAGAAAATCAATTAAGAAGTCAAAGGTATTTGATCACTCATAAAAAGTCAACCAATTATAGACCTAGCTAATTAATTACTCCATTCACTAATTTATTTCAGAAGAAATGCATGTGAGCTTGGCCGTCCAAAAATCAAGTTCTTCACCCTACAAAAATTAAAACCTCTGAATCATCATCATAATATATCTGAAAGATTCATATGAAAAAAAGAAAAAAGAAAAAACTTACCGGCCACCACGATTCTTGCAATATTGGTCAATTGGTATTGAAATATTTAATAGCAAAAGTATCCCTAGATATCTGCTATGGCTAATATATAAATAGGGTTAAATAGCTTCTAATGGACGTGAAATTTGCAGAGCATCTTCTCCACCTTCGTTATGTTGAAAAATACTAAAGAAATAATCAAGTAGGAATGATTCTGGTAGCTGTAAGTAGAAATTATGTCAGAACAACTTATATCTATGGAAAGGTACATGATCCTCTAAACTTGTTAATTAAAATAATCCATAAGATTTAAACTTGATAGGTTCAATCTTAAGGCTCTTAATAAGTAATTCGTTGAAATTTTAAAATTATAAGTTCATAATTTAACATTCGTTGAATTTTTTGTAACTATTCACATATGTATCTAGGTTCCATGTCAAAAATATTAAAGTTCGTTTGAATTCCCACCACTTAAAATATGTGATGATCGGGTCTCGTCTGCCATAAGTAGCTATCAAAACGGGCCAGGTTAGCCCAGCCCAAGCCTCGCAGATTTTAGAATTTGGTGGTCTAGGATAGGGTAACCTACCATTTGAAGGGAATTTTTATATTCATATACCACATACGAAACCTTTTTACCCTATATGTTTAAAGTTTGAGTAAATTACACTTAGTATACCAAATTACCAATCCTATGCCATACTTAATTAAGTGTCTAATTAATGGGCTGTTTTTACTCCTTAATTAAAGGTATCCATATCTAATTAATGTGCAGTTTTTACTCCTTAATTAAAGGTATCCATATATCCCACATTTCTCTCTCCTAACCCCTCACCCCCACCCACGTTTTTACCCATACCTCACATTCTTTTTACCATTTTTCCCTCTTCTGTAACCAAACAAAATTCCACCAAAATGACCCCAAAATAAGCTAAACATTCCACCCCAAATTCTCCGGAAACTTTCCGTCAATCTCTCCCTTCTTTGAATCTTTTCATCCTTTCATTTTTTTTTCCTATCTTATTCTCTTACTATAATTCTTCTCCTCCGCCAATATTTTTTTTTAACATAAATTGTAGTTTAATTGTAATATAAATATAGTAATTTTGTAGATACTCTTAAAAACAATACAGTTTTANTTTTAACATAAATTGTAGTTTAATTGTACAATCAATTAATAGTAATTTTGTAGATACTCTTAAAAACAATACAGCTTTATACAATACTTAAACTGATTTGTAGTTTATTTGCAGTTTTTTTGAAGAAATTTTGTAGATGAAGAGAAAATTTTGTAGTCAACATTTTTGTTTCAACATAGATTGTAGTTTAATTGTAGTATAAATGTAGTAACTTTGTAGATACCCTTAAAAACAGTACAACTTTATACAATACTAAAACTGATTTGTAGTTTTTTTGTAGAAATTTTGTAGATGAGACCCATTTTTTATAATCAGATTTTTCCCATTCAATTGTAGCATGATTGGGATTTTGCATTCTCATCTACCACAATGGCATTAACTTCAAAATCTCTAAATCCGCCATAGTTATCCCAAATCCCATTAAAATTGTAGCATGATTGCAATTTGAATATGATTTCTTGTTGTTGGTGATGTTTTTTTGGATTTCTATATTGAGAGAAGAAAAGATGAAGAACAGATATATATGAGCGACAATTTGAGAGAAGAAACGACGAAAAACAGATTTTATCAACTTTGAGTTGTTGAAACTCGAAAATTTGAATTTTACAATTTGAATTCAGTTCGTCCAATTTGTTCGTAGTTGAATCTGTTCGTAATTTTTGTAACTGTTCGTTCTTTTTTTTTTTCTCGAGAATTTGAATTGTAGTTCTGAAGAAAAATACGCAGATGAGAAATCTCCTTTCCCTTTTAAAAATTGAATTTAATGTAGAATCAATTAATACCAAGATTCTCTCATTAATTTTAGCACGTTTTTTTAGGGAATATTCTGCCCTTTTAATACCTAATAGACGAATGGTACAAAATTTGTAGGTAAAACGTGGACTGGGCGAGTAATTTACATACTATGCACATTTTTGGTAATAAAGTTTCATATATGGTATAGATGGGAAAAAATCCCTTTGAACAGGCCTTAAAATTGCCAGCCCAATCCAGCCCTAAGAAGGTCGCGGGCTAGGATGGGCTGATACTTTTTTTTTCAATTTTTTTAAATCTTTAAGGATTTCTTTGTGACATAGTCCCTTAATCATGTGAATAACTTATGTTTGCATATAGTCGTACAAGAATCTTGATATTTAATAAGGAATTTTGTAATTGCACTCATATTCTGTATTTTTTTTTTTCGTTAGATAAATATTTTCTTTTTAATTTTCTCAAGTTCAAGGATTGCTTTAATAAGTTTATATGATAAAATCTTTTAATTTGGGTCTAAGATCATTTGCTAATTATCATCATCATAGTCCATAAAAATTTTAAATGTTCATGAAATTTGCTACTTTTGTCAAAAAATTTCCTGAGTGTTAAAAATTGGTCTTTACCTATACTAACGGGCAGTTTAAGCTAATGATAAATGATCAATAATGATATTATCTCTTGAAAAAAATTATTACTGGTCATTTAAAAAATTTCTAATTCGTTATTAATGAAGCAAATGAAAAACTAATCTTGTGCATGTCAAAAATATGAATTCTAATATCAGCCATGATGAAAAAATAACCATGTAATATTGGTGTTCAAATTATTCCTCACTTCACCGTCACAGATCAATAATAATTTTCCTTTGATCTCAGAAATATGGTCATACATAGTCTCTCTCTCTCTATATATAACCAGAATTATATAAACAGTTAACTTTGGATCTAGGATTGAAAAAGGAGGATAACTTAGCTTTATTTTTTGAATTTTTCTTTTATATTAAATATTTAAATTCAAATATATTTTGTCCCCCAGGCTTGTGCAGGCTCAGCTTAAGTCAAGTCTCAAGGGCCAATGAGCTAATTTAGGTCGGACTTATAAGTCTTGATTTCAAATGCATGCACTCTGAAAAATTCTAAACCAACTTTATCCAAGTACAGAATATGTGTAATAAGAAACTAGTCCATTTTGAACTGGATTGGCCAATCCTAAAAAGCCAATTCCATTTTGACAACTTTATATCACTTTACAATTAGTAAGATGAATCACTTTGCCAATAAATTTGTTTTGGCCGGTCATATTTATCTTGAACCATACTGCATACAGGTGCATTCTGGGGTCCTTTATTCTAATAAATTCTGCTTAGTACAGAATATGCTGTAAAAACCTAATGGAATATGTTAAACCTGTGGGGTAGACGAGATCGAGAGGTAGATAATTGCGTTTATTTTAAGCAATTCATAATTGCGTTTATTTTAAGCAATCCATCTCACCTATGTAATTGAAATTCCTACTGTACATTAGTTAAAGATTAAAAGGTGTTCTTCCCACGTCAGATTTTCAAAAGTAAATGGTTTTAATAAGAAACTAGATTCTTTTAATAGAACGAGAAGTGCCTCGTCTAATTATTCTTCATCTGATATTAACGTTAGAAGTGATTTAAGTTTTAAACACCAAAACTTGATTAGTATTTCACCACCAACTGAAACTAAAGTTAATTAGTACTTATAAATATAATAATGTCACAAATTAAATTGAATAAATTAGCCGAGAGAAATAAGATATAACAAAACTACGCATCTTTCAAAAATATTTAACTATCGTCCAGGAATGTGATGGATAAATAAGATTCACTCTTAGTAGGAAGTTATGTTTGAGCTTGGGGAATTGAAAAAACGTAAATAAAAAATTAATGAGGTCGAGTCTTGTTTTCTGTTTCTATCTCAAACTCAATTTCTTAAAATGAGCTAATATTTGAAGTACTTAATATGTCGCGTATGATAACCGATGACGTGTTGGAAAATTCTTTTGAAGTAAACAAATGAAATATCCTCAAAGGAAGGCACAAACAATTAATTAACAAAAAGCGGGGCGTGAGACAGGACGTTTTACTTAATATAGAGCGAGGCGAAAGCCTCGAAACACGGGGCATAAGCCCCACGGATCTTTAATTTTTTAAATTTATGAATTAATAATAGCATTATAACACAATAAAAATATAAAGGATACACTAAAAGTTCAAAAAAACTAAAAACAATTAAAGAAACTTATATAAAATAAAATATTTAGCATGCTTTACAAGTATAAATAATACAATATTATTAAAGTTACTATGAAATATTATAATTTCTTAAATTTTTTTATCAAACTGCATATTTTACCTCTTTAAAGGTAAATACTATTAACTTTTATCAATAGTGTAAATTAAAATATTACTCCTTCATGAGTAAATATAAAATTATTTTTAAATAGTAAATAAGAAATGTATGATAATTTTGAGAGACATAGAACTAATACGTGAAGATCTATCAACTAAAGATATAAATTTTGATCATATTTTTAGAAGAAATATTCAAATGATATTCACCCTCACGATGTTTTCAATTAGTAAATATTCAATATTATGGTTCGTTACTTGAGTCATTCACAATTTTTATATTCCTATAGAAAAAAAAATTTAATCATTCATTTGTTAAAGAATTTTAAGAGTGAACGTTACAAATTAATGAATTCAAACACATGATTTACATAGGAACTATTGGGTGAGTACCGAGCGTTGAGCGTTAGGTGTATTTAGGGCGCACTGTCGGGCGTTTGGGAGCGTAAGCCTCACAAAATTAAACCCTACACATGAGTCTCAAGGCGTTTTGATAGTGCCCCGTCCCGGGGCGAGCCCCGAGATAAGTCCCCGAAAATCCTTTTAAAACACTGCTAATTAACATCGCCAGTATTTTAATTTGCAAGAGAAGATTATCTAATTGCCATTATTATATTTCTAACTAATACTCAAGATTCCTGATATATTAGCTATCACGTG